CTTCAAATGATTTGCATTCTGGTCCTGAGAGGGTAACTAGTTCATTAACTGATAAGAACTTAATTAGGTAGAGTATTTCTCTAACTCTTCCGTACTTGCGCTCCCTATATGAAACGAGGTATTGGGTACCGAATTTGCAAGCCTCCTCAAATGCAGTGACCTTGTTGTCATGACCCGCACCGATGATACAAAAAAAAAAACAAGGTCTCATCGTTCTCCATCTCCGGATGACAGAACGATCCTTCAGCCTTTTGGCAAGCTGATTTCGTGTCTTCTTCACTCGGCTTAACGCTGCCTGTGCTGTAAACGGAGCAATCATACTTCTGCTTATCTTGTTGCATTAGCCCCCCACGAGCTAGGACGCCGCCGGTAAAGATACCAAGTTCTAGCAGATAAACGATCGTGGCGAGTTTTTTTTTTTTTTTTTTATTGCTAGGGGTAAATATTGTTAGGAAGCAGGTAATGGTTGGTACATCGATACCTGTAATATACACTAGAAACGTACCTTACTGGAGGACTTTTGATCTCGAAGTTCAACGAACTATACCACATGACGTGCAGATTGGTATAGGTGGAAGATGGCAGCGGTTGTGAGAACTATGTACGGAGTGACAAAGCCTGCCGCACACTACATAAGATACCAGCCATACTGTGCCTAAAACCGAGGTAAGAATGCCCATATTTGGGCTGGCCCAAGATAGGAGTAATCGGCGTGCCTGGCAAAAGACCGCCTATCAACAGTCAGGATGGCCCTCGCCTCCTTCATCATCAGGTGTAAAAGAGAAATATAGCGGGAGCCTGCCGCAATATTATTCTCATCAGAAGTCAAGCATGAGTTGTGGGTATGCTCTCTCCAGATCCTCTGTCTATGGATGGCCGTCAGCAACAATCAAACAAAGACCCCACCACAACCAGCAGAATGGGACTGGAAAAAGGGTGTTATTATACCTCTAGATAATTGCTATGCTCAATATCTGCTCTTGTAGCCGGCGTAGCCATGCTAGCAGCATTATTCATGCGTTTTTCTTCAATTGCTCTGCTTACGGCTTCGGTGGCAAAGCTTTCAATATATTTCGTAAATAGCTTCACTCCGTCTTTCGTTATCCGAGTTTTCTTCTTCTTGAAGGCGACCTCGTGCAGAATGGTGGTGATAAGCTTATAATCAATTCGTGGATCAGAAGATTTATTATCTGCTGGATGTTGTTTTGGCCCGTCCACAGCAGTTATCTCTGCAAGTATGTAGTCAGGCTCCTCGGAAGAGGACATGTCGTCCATTTCCGACATTTCCTCATCTTCCAGGGCGATCGATGAGCTAGCCCGTGGCGTATCATTCGTCTGCTTCTGTCTTTTTGAGGCTGTCGTTGAGATAGGAGTTGTTTGATCCTTTTCCCCGGCTGTTGAGCGTCTCTTCAGGGGCGGCTTTTGGCCTGTTTGCTTCTTGGTCGTCTTCGTCGCGTCTGGAGTCTGCAGGCTGTACTTTTGCGGGCGGCTGAATTTCTTGCCCTTGGTCTCAACTGGGGCCATTATACGTAATCGCAAATTCGCAAATTCGCAGGCAATACTCCGTATCACAAACGCTGTCTTCTCCTTCTAGCATGGATTCCTGCTTGTACTTCTCACTGTTTTCGATGGTTTCCTCCCGAAGTTCCCAGTCATGGCCGAAACGCGTAGTCACGTGATTAATTACTAAGCGAAACGGAGTTAAGTTGTTACGACCGAGGTATGTCAGGTGTTCCTAATCGGGATATAGTTATGACTCCAACTTGGACAGCTTGAATCAGCTACGCATCTTCGACAACTTCACAACGAAGAACAAAGGAACACAATAACAACCGAAGCAACTTCTTTACCGTGGTTTTTTGATGTGATTTCATTTTGTCAACATATGGAGAATATAACCGAGATAGAAGGAGATTTATTCCTGGCTCCCGAAGGGGCTGCTCTTATCCGTACCTCTTTCTATGCCATTCACAGTTATATACCCATACACTAACCCACTGCTTTATAGACGCATGCAATTGTCAAGGATCCTGGGGGAAAGGTATTGCACTTGAGTTTAAGAATAGAGTATGATCCCGGTGCCCATATACCCCTTATCCAGCTCAGGGCATGGTATTGAAGACGGTATTGCTGGTGGTTCTAATTCTCTTTTTTTTCTCCCGCACTCTTAGTACCCAGCGGCATACCAGATTTATCGCTCATATTGCTTGGACCTTCTTGCCAATCCTCAGACGGGACTCCATCCAACTAATGATACCAAGACTGGAAATGACACCAATAACGCTATACAGCGAGTAACCAAACTTCCTGAAGGGACAGCTTTAGTTATACCACCACAGCCAGGCGATTATGATCCACAGGGTTTCCACATAAGCGCTGCTAGGGGTGGAGGACGCGGTCGGGGTCGGGGTCGGGGCAGGGGCGGAGGTAGAGAAAACGCAAGAACACATAATTCATTCCCCCAGCCAGCAGGCAAACGGCATTGGATAATGTCTCTTTACAGCTTGGCACTATGCTGCTGGCAAACGTAACCCTCCCAATGAGATTATTGAGAACACGGCTACGGCTTTGGCAGACCTAAAACGCCAGATTGACGGAGGTATGGCGGATAAGGATAGTACTTTAAGGGATGCCGGGCTATGGTCCTGTCGTATTAATGCTGGGCTATTTGGAGTTGACTGGGAGAGATCCAAGAGTATTATGGCGGAGTCTAGGTTGAATATCAAGGTTGTGTCGCCACCATTGGAGTAAATAGAAAATAATATGGATTGAAAGAAGATCAATTTTAGGGTAACTATGTCCCGCAAAGAAAATAAGAAGCCAGCTTGGAATTGTGGTATAGGTACGTTGTGTTTGACCTGGACTTCGATGACCTCCCTGCCAGTTTAATAATTATACATTTCTCCCGCCCACGCCTCTGGCCGGAGCGATGAAATTAAACAGAAAGAACTTTAGAACGCGGAATACTCCTTAATATCGGGCTCTCGGACCTTCTGTTTCCCTACTGAACCCCCGTCGGAGTCGATATCTTTCTTCGATTCCCGTTGCTTATCACCCTTCCAGCTAACTTGACTGGTGAAGCTAAATCTAGATGTCGATCTCTTCAATAGACGTGCAACAGATGATGTTGACTTCTTTGAAGTACTCGCTTTGCGGGATGCAACTCTAGAGTTTTCTTTTGATGCATTTTCCAGGTCGATGACTTTTTGGTAATATGTTGTTCCACCTGTCCCGAAATGGTGTTCATACGCGGGGAGAAGTCTGACGATACCATGAGTTGGGGGAATATGCATTGCCGCGTGAATTTCCTGCTGGATAATGGAGGCATAGCGGTAGCTGCGCCGCGGTGTCAACAAGTCACATAGAGCTGTCACGAAGACGATGTAGGCTGGCTCGTCTCCAAATTGACACGAGATCTTCACTTCATCGTCAAGTGTAACCGTCACGGGACGGCCGTCAAATAAGACTTTCAATTCTTCTACTAGTTTTGATATAGTGTCAATGGGGTTGTCAACCTAGAAGACGAAATATATTAACTATTGCGCTTAGATAATGCTGTGGCAGATCTAAGCGGCAATACCGCAGGGGAGAGGAAAAGCAGTACCTTCTTGTTTGTTCTTATCTCGACGAGGATTTGGGAACCGAGGCAGACTCTCTCCCTGAAACCTGGATATGAAGCTCCCGATTTGAACTCTTCGTTCGCACGACACCGTTCGGCCTCTCTTATACTGCTCTGTTCTGCCGCGATCATGTCTGATAGGTTGGGACTGCCGCTGCGGCTGCCCATAAAACCGCCGCATCCCAGGTCTCTCGCAACTATATCTTTTTTCGAAGGGCCAGAGGCCGTTGAAGACTGGACACGTCAAGTCAACCCCTCTGATACAATATGCGCGCCCCGTCGGAGAGATGAGCGGTAGGAAGCGAAAGAGACTTACAAATGTTATGGAATGGCGAGGAGATTTGGGTTCTGGCGTCTTTGTGCGCGCACTGGAAGGGAATTTCTCACAGCCATCCATGGCCAAAACGGGGTCAGAAGCAACCCCCCCAAGCAGTCTCAAGGCAAACAAGTGGTATCGGAGAGCAGCGCTCGAAAAACGCAGTCCTAGAGAGCAGACAAGGCTATGAGTGAGGCGTGAAGCTATCGTGGCTTGACTTGGTGGAAACGCAGGATTTGGAGAAGGAAAAAAAAAAAGAAAAAGGAAGAAAAATAAAAAATAACAAACGAAAAACACAGCGAAAAGATGGAGTGTCGTTGAAATCGCCCAAAGAGGAAACACCCTTTTTCTTACCTTGCGACTTCACGACTCGCACGCGATGTTTGGTTTTTGCTCTTCTCTGCCTCGACCGCAACATCCAGTATCGCTACGACGCTTCATAACAGCATAACACCACATCCATCCATCCCAGGCTGCGGTGACAGAGTCGTTGCGTCGAGGATGTTGCGGTCAGCTGCATTTTTCCCTGTGATGGTTTGTTTAACGACTGCTGGCCAGACAACGAGTAAGGCCCTTGTTATAGGTCACAACATGCAACCACCCACCCCGCGAAGGGATGACCACCGCCAAAGACACGCAAACATAGTTTAGCTATAGGATATCAAGGGCAGTACGTATTCTCCTGGGTCTGCATTCGGAGACTTGGGCCTCTTGAGAATCGTTGTCGAGAATTGCTCCTGTGGCTAGCTATATTAACTAACGGTTAGTAGTTACCCACTTGCACTCCCATGAAGAGATGCTCCGTTTAATCGCAACGCTGGAGCTATAGCTAAGTGGAGAAGACATGGGATAAACCAGGCTAAAGGAAGCACAAGTATCCCCTTGTAGTTAAGGGACGGGGAAACAATACGCATGAAAATTCGCCATCCAACGAACTCCGCTAGTTAACTTCTGGCTTCTTATTTTGAGGCTTTACTTTTAAGCTATTAGGTACTGAAGAGCCAGGGGCAGCGCCGGATACTTGTCAGAACAAGAGCTACCATTGAGCCTAAGTGAGAATCACCTCTAGCACTCGTCTGGAAAGGGCCACATTTTTCGAGCAGCTTCCAAAGGCATATAGTGCGCCATCTCCTTCACATATCTCTCCAATGCATGCCTATTACGCTGTTGTATTTCGGAAAAGCTGAGCTCTGGGGATACCCAACCATCTGCATCTGTCTCAAGGTAACTCCTTGCAAACTCCTGGACGTCATGCCAATTCCGATACTCTTGAAATAGACCTTCGATTTTCTCAAGCTCACGGCTAGAGAAAGATACTGGGCATTCTCCAGTAAGAGAAAACGCAGCCCACGACTGGTAAAGTTCAGCAAGGCAAACCCGTAGGCATATTGTGCCTTCAGAATTTGATTCGCCACAACGGACGAAGAGTTCCCTGAAAACAGTCGGTAGGTTCAGGCTTCGATATACGTCTTGGCTATGAAGAAAAGATTGTAATTCATATGACTTCGAGATAATCGCATCATCTCGTATTGAAGACGCAAGTCTCTTCTCGGCTTCGCCAAGTTCCTCAAAATCATGCGGCAGCTGTGGTTGAATGGGCCCGTAGATATACTCGTCTCCGGGTTTGAGGAAGCTTGGCCAGTTTGCTTGCAGAAACAGAGGGCCAATAGCTATATACTGCCAGTCAATGATCGAAACGATCTCTGTTGGATCATTGTCTGAAACAAATATATTCCCCATGTGCAAATCAGTGTGCCACAATGTTGGCCTTGAGATAGAGGCGAGATCGGCGCTCCTTGACTCTAATGTTTTGAATATAGTCATTGCATTCTTGAGGTCGGTAATCTCCTCATCAGCACAGTGCTGGTGGTTGTAAGGGCGGTAATCTCTTGCTGGAGAGGAGGAAATCCGGGTTATTTCCCGTCGAGCGAGGTCAGTGCCGTATTCAGAAAGCGAGTCCCCTAATACGAGGTTAGGAGCTGTTGTATATTGTGTGACTGAGTACCTACATGGGCCTGAATGATGTTCAACTGATGACCCTACTAGTGTCTTCCAGGATCGTTCTGCGGAGGGCCCAATACAGTAACGTTGATCTGGGTCCAGAGACTTGCATAGTGGTTGGCAATGATTCGATATAGCGGATTCCCTAAGGTGAAGGCTTCCTGATACCGGGAAATGGATGGCGGCCAGCTGTCTCTCCAAGTCACCAGGCTTCTTACGAGAGCGAGTTTCGATGTGCCATTCATGCTTCCCCATTTTTTGTAAAGCTGAATTCCAGGTGCCTTTTCCAGGATGATATACTCTCGTCCAACGTCGTTAGAAGCGTCTGAATTCCATGCAAACACATCCGGGACTGGGATTGTGGTATGTTGCCGCACTGTCCAAAAATTTCAGTTTATTATATATAATTGGATTGACCGTGATTTCAATGTTAGTTACCATATTTCAGAGTTGCGACCTCTGAGGATGTAGAATCCCTAGCAGGTCCAACTACTCTTGATGGTAGCTTTGCAACTACTTCCGTACCATCTGCCTTTCGCATCAAGAGCGCTTTACAAAAGCCTCCCTCCATCTTGGAGATAGATACGATGGGGGATGTAGACGGCCCGGCAGCAGCGGCCACTGCACATAGTCGGGGAACATCGAACTTCAGATAACGCTTTTGTAACTGCTGTTCTTCATTGATTAAAAACCGTCCATTGGTATATTTGAACAGCTCTTCTTCGCCGATAGGCTTGCCTGTAGGATGTCAGTTTTATAAGCCAGTTAATAGAGTAGCCGGTGAACTGCACAGACCACGACATGTTATCGAGATGCTCCTCGCCTGTCTCGTTTTTTCGTGGTGAAAGAATGTTCGTATCAGGTTTCTTCGAGCCGCACAGCGCTGTGGTAGGGCTAACATGAGTCTAGGAAGGTTGATTGTGACAATTGGTGTCCTTCGGTGATTAAATGAAGCGGAATAGAAAGTTAGTTTTGGATTGGATGATAATCGGTAGATTCTCGGCAGACAGGCCACAGACATGCTACAGTTATCATCTTCCGCAAATGGTTAGATACCGAAATGATCGTCCGCGGCGAAACTGCTTGCAAATCAATATCTATGTATTCTCTATCTTATATGCTGCTCTTTTATCCAACTCCAGTGACTATATACAGAGGGTATCCTGAACAAAAAATGTATAACCAAATCTACCAAACAAATGTTTCGGGGTGCCTAACTATCCACTGACCAACGGGTCAGGGGTGATAGTAACATTATTCTCGTCTCCTTTACCATTAACGGGCTCAAGACTGCTAACAGGAACTCCATTTCCATTCCCATGTTCCCCCTTAACAGCACCAGCCTTGATGTCAATAAGCTGTGCTTCCTCAGCAAGCTTATCCTTCTTCTTCAACTGCAATGACCCAATTTGCAGTGCTTCTTCAGGTAGTGGTCGGATATATGGCTGACATACCCACCAAGGTCTCTGATACTTCTCCATCGTCGCCTTTGATTCCTCCGATTTGACCACCCCCGGTTTCGAGGCGGGAACAACGTGCTTCCAGTCCGGGTTTTGCTCATATTCCTGCATGCCTTGCTTGACAGCGTGGTCAACTAGTTTGACAACTTTTTCAAAATTAGGCATGTCTCCTCCGTGACAGCGTGCGAGCGCATCCCTGATGTCTGTCCGGTGCGAGACAAGGTGTCGAAGGAGTTGGAATAGATGGCCTTGCATGGAAGATAGATTGGTTGATGGAGTTCTCTTCGCACGTTTTCCTTGCTTCTGTTTCTTCCTAGGGGGTTGTTCGCTTTCATCTTCAACAGCTTCATCTGTCTGTATCTGGCCATTAGATTCCGAAGCAGGTTCGTCGTCTGGATGATATAGCGGTGCTCTCTGCGGAGGATCCTGTTCGAGAACATATTTATAAATAATATCCATGTACCGTCGTAGGACATAGTCAAGCCTAAACCCCCCTCTCCCGTCTCTGCCACGCCAATACATCCTCCCTTCTTCGCCTGGAGCTGGAGGCGTCGAGAAGATCGTTGGATCCGAAAGATTGCCTTCTGCACTCATCACACCGTCTGCCCCTGTAACCTCCAAGCAACGACTAATATCACTATGATTTAAAATATTCCCGTTTGCGAAAATAACAGTCTCAGGGGGTAAGTTATCTCTCAAGTATCGAATATACTCCCAGTTCGCCACGCCGGTATTATGGCCCTTTTGCTCTCTCCTCCTGCCATGCACGGATAAGATACTCGCACCAGCAGAAAGAATCATACGCGCATACTCGAGTGTTTTCTCCTTTGTTTCAAGAATCCGGAACTTGGCTGTCACTGGTATCGAAAGCTCGTTATGTAACTTATTGATAAGTTTGTATATTAGATCTGGATCCTCCTGCAAGAAAGCACCATAGTGTCCTTTCTTTGCGATGCCCTGAGGACATCCGAGATTCAAATCAACTGCATCGCAGTGTGCTTCAACATGGCGCGCAGCTTTGAGCAGCTCATCTGGATCGTTGGCGCAAAATTGAACGATGAGTGGTCTGTCGTGCTTTGGGTTTCCATCTAGATACGGCTCCGCGGTGGTTTCATCAGTGCCGACTGTTTTGGCCTGGCGTACTGGTTCAAAATGCTGTGTGCGGTATGCGGGCGCCTCATTGAAGAATCGGGCGTGGAACATAGGCGAGTAGGCTAGGATGGGAGTAGGATTTCCTTCTCCCATGAACGAACGAGTGAGCATTCGCCAGGCCTGGCACACATATCATACGATTCTCAGTAAAGATTCAATCAAGTAGTATCAGTGGTGGAAACGTACAAATTCGGATCTATCTACCATTGGTGCAACGACCATCTTTGGGCTGCCTATACTCTCGTAGAATTCACGGCCATGTAGCTTCTTCCTTGACGGCTTAGGTTTCATTTCATTAACAGCCTGTATTATCCCGGGAGGTATTGACCCAGACTCAACACTGGTGTCGACTGTGTTTGCGTTCGTGCTCGACATAGTTGCTATTTTTATTTGGCGGAGGTGGAAACGGGGAAGGGGAATCGTTGGCCTCTGCAGCAGGGGGCGCCGCCAGAAGCTGAACCGGCTAAAATTCAGAATTGCGAAGGGGTAGAGAGTAATGCAGGGCGATGAAAAAGTGTAACGGCACTTTATATGAGCATCCCGATCGCAGGTGTTGTGGGATGAATGATGTTGGTTTGCTGCATCGATGCGAACCAAAAAAAAAAAAAATTAGACATCGAAAATGCCAAGACATGGGAATGATTTAAGGTTTGGAGATAAACTTAAATAGGGTCGCTTATATAAGACAAGAAGTCCCCTGAATATCAATATGCGGGAAATGGAAGATCACTGTGTATGCGAAGGAGTTGATATAGATAGTTCACTATCTCAAGAAACCTATTGCCTGTATGCAGGATCCACCCACATTGGCCCCAATAATGTAATCGAGAACTGACCAAAAGAAAAGGAACCAAAAGGAATTAAGACCAGATTTCGACGTCTCGAATAGACGGACCATTTTGACTAAGAGGGGAAAGACAAGGGAGGGAAAACCAACTCACAGAACGAATAAAAACGCCGATTTGACCAGACAAAGGAAAGGGTGCAAACGAAGAGGCACGAGGGAATGCTATTCTATAGTAACCGAAGCAAAATAGAAGGGGAAAAAAGGACAGGAAAGAAACAGAGTGGGAGCGACGAGCTGTGAATGTTAGGAGAAACAATGACAGGTACAGGTAGATAAAGCAAGATATAGAAAGGGGGTAAAAAATTCGTAGCGGACATCAGACTAAGGGTAGTATGGTAGTATATAAATTTGGGTGGTTAAAGGGAGTTAGACAAAGTGGGAGGTGGCTTGGAAGATATAGTGGCAGGACGCTTCCATGTTGGCGCACAATCTTTCAAAATCGCGATTTGTGGTAGCACTGATCTCATCAGAAGTGTTGTTTGATGAAGAGCCTTCAACAACAAGCTCAATCTTGGAGGAGATATCGTCTAGCTTAACAGTGGTGAACACCTTGTCGGAGGTTTGATCGGAGGTGGGGGGTGTGCATGGCTGATCAAGGTAAAGGGCAAAGCAAGGGTCATTCTCATCGATGTCAAGATCAGCAGCAGAAACAGGGATAGAGGCTTCCTTTTTAGGAGCTTCCGAATTGTCAATGCCGAAGGACACAGTGTCGATGGAAGGAATAACTTCTTTGGTTTCATCAGAGGTCACGGGGCCAACAGAGTTGGAGCTTTTGCCCGTGATTGCCTCCATGTCCAGAGATGGGCAGGTAGGAACATCAACAACGGCAAACACGGATGGGTTGGTGAAGTTAAAGTCAATGCCCGAGTTCCAACCCTGGTCATTGAGGTCAATCGAAGCGAAGTCAAAGGCTTGCTCCGGAACGACCGGAAGGCCCGTCTGTAGGTTTGGAACCGATACCTCCTGGTGGGGCTGTTCGATGCCTGCTTCCTTGGTCCCGGTGGGCTGACTGGGAAGCTGAGGCGCTGGAGTGGTGTGAGTTTGGACCTGAGGTTGAGACTGAGACCCTAGGTTTGGTGGAAGGCCGTTCGCAGATATTTCGCTAAGCAAGGGCGCAAAGTGAGAAGAGGAGAGGAGCATGCGGGTGAAATCGGTGAGTCTGGCATTCTCCAGAGCTAGGGCGTTGTTTTTCTGGCGGAGCTCGTTGGCTTCATTAGTCTTAGCAGCCACCTCGCCTTCAAGCTGGCCAATATACTCTATTGAACTAAGTTAGATAAACTGAACGAAAATTAATAGGAGTGGGAAGTACGACTAACCTTTACGTCTTGATCGGAAAGCACGGGCTGAGACCTTGTTACGGAGCTGGCGTCGTTCCTTGCTGCTGAGTTTCTTTCCTTCCTCACTTGCAAGCAATCGCTCGTCCTCATCCATATCTTGCTCATCCTTCTTGTACTTGGTAGGTTGGGGGAGACTGCTAGTCTGTTCAGTCTCTTCCAGGCTGCTGACACTATTTTGTCTCATCTGTTGAAGTATGTGGGAGATCTTCTCCTGCACGCGCGGATCCATGTTGCGGTTGAATTTACTCTGAGGCCGATTCTGATGAGCCTCGGGGGTTTGTCTTTGCTGTGAAGATTGTTGCTGGTGTAGTGGTTGTTGATGGTGTTGGTGTTGATGCTGTTGTTGTTGTTGCTGCTGCTGCTGCTGCTGACGCTGAAGCATCTCTTGCCTTTGCTGGAGGGCAGCCTTAGCTCTGGCGGCCTGCTGCTGATGGATGCCAGGATAGACACGTCTTGTCTGGTTTGCAGCGGCAGAAAGAGGAATCTCCTGAGCACCAAGTGCACTTGGGTCAACAAACTGGGTCTTGTTAGCCTGAGAGGGCACGATGTAGGCATCTGAGTCAGCCAGATTCTCATCGAGGTCCATTTCGGTCGAGTCCTTTAATGGTAAAGTGGACAACGAATTCATCGGTTGTCCCATTCGGCCATAGACGCCGTCCACAGGATGCACCATGCCCATGGGGTCGAAGCCATAGTTGTTTAGGGCGATAGTGTTAGCAAGGCCGCCTGGCGGCAGGCCGGTTTGTTGTGTGTAGTGAGTGTATTGGTGACTTGGGGCAGTGTATTGAGGCTGCTGAGGTGACTGCTGCTGCTGCTGCTGCTGCTGTTGTGGTTGCTGCTGAGGTTGTTGTTGCTGGTGCTGGACGAAGCCATGCTTGCTCGCAGTCTTGCTATCGGAGTTAGCAGGCGAGACCGAAGGTGAGGGATACATAGTCGGCTCGAGGTTGAGAAAAGAGTCCATGTCTGCAGCGACGTCGTACGACTGCGGCTGGCTAGTGAGAGGAGAGAGAGTCGGCAGCATTTCTCCCATCGCAGCCATGATGACGGTTTCTGCAGTCAATTGTGCGGTCTCTGTGTCTGTTTTGTGGTCCTTATATCCAATGTCGAGGGCGGTAGAGATGGTAGAGAGGATGCTGGTGATGGAAAATAGGGTGGTTGTCGATGTTGACGTTGATGTTGATGTTGGTGACGGAGACAGTACTACACTCGCAGGCAGATCGATAATGAGATGGGTGACAGAGGAGAGGCGCCGTGGCCGAGGCAGGCGAAAAGGATCTCCCTCTCATGCAACTCTGACACACCCGGAGTGGGCCGAACAGGGCGCCAGCAGGAAGCGAGAGGAAAGGCGGCTGTGCATCCATTTCCGTTTTGGGGCATAGGGATATCACGTGACCATTGATCTGTCAGCCATGACTTGATTGGCTACATTCGAACTAAGCAAAATCACGTGAAAATTCATTACATAAGATATTGCTTCACGTGATGCCAATGACTAATCCAAGACAACTCAGGCGGAAAAGCGAACAAGGAGAGAGAGAGACTATTGGAACGGACAAGGAGCCGGAGAGACGCACGGCGATGATGATATGCAGGATATGATGCATGATGAAGATGGAGATGGAGATAAGACATGCAGCTGGTGGAGAAGAAGCAGACGATGGGGCTGGGAGCGAACCAGACGATGTCAACACTCGTACTACGGCAAATGAGAACCCCCAAAATGGCGCTGATGCCCAATCAGCCGCACTGCGTTGAATATCTTGATACCCTTGATACCCGCGAATTGATTTACAGCCAGGCCATCTGGCTGCATAATGCAGCGCAGTGTCATGCCGCACACCGTGTACGGAGTACTGGCTGTACTTCGACAGGAGTCTAACGGTGTGGCGAGCGCGGCCAGCACCGTCTGTGGCCATCTACGGAGCACGTCAGCCTTGGGGTAAAGAGCCCCCTCAGCTCAACGCAGAACTTGGCTACTTCCATATACCCAGGGATTGCACTTCTATATGTGTCAAACGGAGCTTCTCTGGCTAATGGCATGACTATCATTTACCGAGCGAATTTATATGCAGTTGACAGTTGATGCAGAAAGCCAGACCAAGTTTTATCCCACTTGGCTGCTTCCCTATTCGCTGGCATCCTTGCTGCGTGCTCTCCATTCACCCATTCATCCATATATCCATACCTCAAGTTCCCCTCGCCCGCCTCTCAGTCCGTTTTATAACCTCTCGGGTTTTGTTGAATTCGGAGTTCGCTTCATGTTCTTGTTTCAAGTTCTATACCCCAAGTATATATAACTCCTACCCAGCATGTCCCATCAGGCCACAGAGTCCTTCTACGACCAGTTCTTCCTCGACTATGAGAACAACTACCACAACAACGAAGGCCTCAAGGCCTTTGTCCGCGAAGCTGCCTCGAAGCTCCCCGCCCACGCCAAGGTGCTAGACGTAGGCTGCGGTACGGGACGTCCCATAGCCGAAGCCCTCTGCGCAGCCGAGCTTGATGTCACAGGCATAGACCTGTCGACCGAGATGGTAGAAATGTGCAAGAGGCGGTTCCCCTCCGCGAAGTTCATCAAGACGGACATGACCAAGTTTCGCCCCCAGCAAAACTTCGACGCCGTCTTTGCCGTTCTCTCGCTATTCCATGTTTCTCATCGTGAATGCTACTCGATGCTGTTCAAGTTTGCCGACTGGTTGAAGGAGGGCGGCCGCCTCTTCATTACTACTATATACAGCCACGATTTGGTGGACAGAGGAGCCAAGCCAGATAGCCAGGGCATCATCGATCTCGCCGACTGCCAGTTCCTGTCCCACGATGTTCCTCTGACGGCCTTTTCCAGCGAGAAGTGGGAGGAGTACCTGACTGCTGCCGGATTCGTCGGGTTTCATGCTACAAAGTATGATTTCCAGCCCGCGGATCCAAAGCTCAAGGTTGCCCATCACCACTTTATCACGGTGAACCGAGGAGATAACCACCCGCTCATGGGGCCCTATCCTTACCCTGATAAAGTGCTTGGGCCGTACTCTCTACAAAAAACGGCATACAAATCCTTCATGGAAAGACTTAATGACGTCGAATCGAACGCTCTGGCGGGTGTAATCGGACACAACACCAACACTCTCACCATTGGTAATACTTCTTTTCCTCCCCCCTTTTCCCGCTGAATTACAGCTGAGACAGCCTTTTCTTTCTTTCTTTCTTTTTGCAGACCCGATGAACCGCAGCGATTCGTTTCCGTTTAGCGCCCAGGAAGTTTCCAACAAGTTCGACTCCATTGTTCTGTCCCGAGTTCTCGACGGCCTGGAAGACATTAACGCGCCTCTTCAGAAGGCCATGAAGGCAACCAGCAAGATAGTAGTCATCCAGGCTGCCCCAGACAACGATCTCCTCAAGCAAGCCAACCTCAGCAGCAACAAAGCCCCGATGCACCACGGACTCATCCTCCACCGAGCCGCCGAGATCCTCAAGACAAACGGCTTTGGCAGTCTAGAACTCATTCACATTAGTGATAGTGCATGTCGCTTCTCAGAGGAGGACTTGTCTGCGCGATCCAAGGTTGCTGCCATCTTGATTGCAGACATGTTCTATAGCTATGAGGCCGACTTACAGAGTATCAAGGACGCTCTTGTCCCCAGGATGGAGGCCCTCTTCAAAGAGACCCCGCATGACGTTGGCAACCAATCTGTCATGCTGGTTGCTCGGCCTGTTACTCAGGCCAGGCCAGCATGATGTAAAGTAGTCAAGAAATCCGTATGGTCTAACTCGGGAAGCCATCAAAGAAACATCCTATGCAGCTGCTGATCCCTTTCCTTAATGTGGCGGATATTTCGTCATTCAGAACAAGCAAACGCAGCGACTCAATAATCAGACCACCCGTTATAGCCACACACGCACACACCTAGCTATCGCAAAATATAGTGATATAACTATAACTAAGAGATTAACCACCTCCAGTCCAAGTATCCAGGACATCTAGACCTCTACTATTATCTTGTGCCTTGTGCCCTTTCGCCAAAAAGCAAACATGTCCGTTCCCCGCGTCCTCCTGCTCGGCGGGCACGGCAAGATCGCTCTCTTCCTGACCCCCCTCTTGCTCGCCCGCGGGTGGGACGTCATCAGCGCCGTCCGCGACCCCAAGCATGAATCCGATATCCTCAAGTTCAACAAGAGCGACGGCAGCAGCAACGGCAAAGTGAGCATCTCGCTGTCCGACCTGGAGAAGATCAAGAGCAGCGATGATGCGGCCGGCGTCATAGCCGCGGCTAAACCAGACTACGTCGTCTGGGCTGCTGGTACGGAAGACCCCCAACTAACTAGTTACTCCCTTAACCCATTAACTAGTAGCTGCTATCTTTGCTGTCCCGTACCCATAAATAGCTATGCATGCTAACAGCTCCAAGGAGCCGGCGGCAAAGGCCCCGTCGATCGTACCTATGCCATCGACCAAGACGCAGCGAAACACTTCATCCACGCCATCATGGCCAGGCCCAACAACATCAGAAAGTTTCTACTGATCTCGCACATTGGAAGTCGGCGCAAGCCCGCTCCCTGGTGGTCGTCTGCAGACTGGGAATCGGTCGACCGCATCAAGGCCGCACTGCCCGATTACTACAAGGCCAAGCTTGATGCGGACGAGTACTTCTCCGTGATGGCAGCGCAGCGCAGAGAGAAGCACGGAGATACTGACTTCCAAGCAATCAATCTACGCCCTACCACGCTCTCTGACGATCCTGCGACGGGTAAAGTTGAGTTTGGGCGTACAGGGACAGGCGACCGGCTGCCCATTTCGCGTGAAGACGTAGCCATTGTGGCTGACGAGGTCCTAGCTTGTTCGAGTGTGAGGGGGTATCAGGATCTGATCAGTGGCCAGACGCCCATTAAAGAGGCGGTTGAGAAAGTGGGGAGATCGGGTCTGTGTTGCTTCGAGGGAGAAGATCTCGAAGCCATGCGCGAGAGGTTTAGGGAGTCCCTCTAACTAGTTGGTTCTGTTCTGGTGATAACTAGCTAGTTACGTCAGGAAATACAGAAGAGGGTCGATTTTTTCTTGCTGTATCGCATGTGTATTGTTACCTATCAATCACCATCCGACAGTAGGTGCCGACTGGTGTAGTTAACTAGCTGCTGCCAGTGGTTCGCTGGAGAAGACCCAGCTTAGAGATCAAGAAGTTGGAGTTGAATACTACATAGTACTAGTTACCAACTACTGGTTATCCACATATCCAGCTGGCCATGTTCTAGATCCGGATGGAGAAAATAGTTAATATGGAGCAGACGGACACTGGTCCACGTTGTCTTCCAGCCTTAAACACAGCTAACTATGGAAATAAACTGAGCTAACTAGCATGTTTAATAATGTTTCCAGGTATCCATGGGATTGTGGCTGTGAAGATAGTGTTGTGCATTTTTAGTTGTTAGTTGGCCCCCTAGCTCTATAAAAAGATGGAACAAAGCCCGCAGCAAACACCGCAGACAGGCTTGTTTCAAACAGCTGGTACGGTACAGTTGATACAGGTGTTTATTAGCTCAGAGGCAGGGATGTAAATCTAAAATTCAGGTAGAGATGAGCTGCGTATCTCTATGCTTTACTTGATTTGCAATAAACGATGAGAAGAGGGAGATATTGTACACGAGAGAAATGCTGGCCCGCTCGCAGAATGCAAAAAACAAACATATTAACAGAAACGGTTAGAGAAGAAATGAGATCAAATATCCATCACTCATCTGATGTTGTTTCGAGGAATTTGGTCAGGAGAGGCTGGTGGGCCTCCGCTTGTATGGCGTCTGCTACACGCAACCTCATATGGTCAAATGCAATGACGATAGGGGGGTTGTTGGTAGAAGAAGATGGACTTTTCGACCGGGAGCGAGATCTTGGGCGAGTCACCTTTGCAGCTCCACTATTCTCAGTCTCGGCCATCGTGTAGTCCTCCTCTACATCTTCTGAGGTAGGGATATCACGGACTACTGAGGGAGCTTGACGCGGTTTCTTGTCCTCTGCGGTATTCCCCTTATTGTTCCACCCCTTTGGTGGCTGGATATGTACTTCTTTTGCATTAGCGATGTCGGGCATCTTACGATACCGTTGACTGAAGTGTGTCATGACAATCACTTTTGCCTCCATCCTAAGACCAACTGTCATGGCTTCGCTGACAGTTGAGTGACGCTTAGCAACTGCGTCAGATAACATGTTATCGTCAAAGGTAGCTTCGTGGATCAGAACGGTAGAGCCACGACCCATGTCTATGAAGCGAGTAGATGGGCGACAGTCGCCCGAGTACGACACCTTAAATCCTGTTGGGAAGATGAAAGACACCGCCTTTGCACCCTGGCAATGGGATACGGGAGTCGTCAGGATAGC